GAGATAAGAGTACACTCATGAAACCATCACCACACCAATAACATTAACATAATCATCACCTCCAAAAGTGCCCTCCCTCCCTCTTTTTAGTGATAAGAACAGTTAATGTAAGATTTATCCTCTTAAGGAAATTTTAACTATACAGTACAGTATTGTTAACCATAGGCACTGATGTCAGTTCTTATCTGCCCAGATATGTAACAAGAATCGGAACGGTTGGGAAGCATGGAATTTGTGTGTTAGATCTTATGAGAAAGGGGCAGATTTTCCCAAAGTGGGGGGCCTCTTTGCATTCCCACCAGCAGCACCTCACCCCTTACCCGCCTGCAATTTTCATGGGGGAAATGATTACATCCTTTATCCTCTGCTACAAATCATTGGGATGCCTGGAAAAGAGAGTCATGCCTCAGGGAGCTCCTTGTTCAGAACTCCCGAGCAACCAGGACACAAGCACCAAGATTCCTCTCTAGACTCTGGGTTCAGCTACCACTATTATTGGATCAGGCTTCAGGCTTTGATTTGGGAGGGCTGTATCACCGTGTGCTGTGTGACGGCATCTATAAATTAGCGGATCTACTCTGTGAATTCTTCTGGACATTCCACATTATCTGTTATCTCATCACACAGATAAGCCCATATTTATCCAGGACACCATGTGGGCTGACTAGAGGAGGCTAGCTTCTGTAGAAAACAGATCTAAACAGGTGAAATGGCTTACACGACAGAGTGAATTACTCCTGTTCACCCTGGAGTAGGGATCCTGGCCCGTCCCCACGAGTATAGAATATAGATATGTACTTCAGAATAAAAGAGGAGGCTACTTTTCTGGGAAGTTCAAAATGCTCCTTATTCTATGTAACCCAGAGAGAAATCCAAACACATGGGGTTACCTAAACTAAAAATCTTAAACCTTCTCTACACACCCATGCTCTTTCTAATCTTCTTAATGCATATATCCTAGAATATGGCAAGGCATTACATCAAAGACTCTTTACATGGGTCTAAAGCTAAAATCAACAGTAGAACCAATTATAGAATTTCAGGGCCCAGTGTAAAATGAATGAAGTTTCTATTCTTATGACTTAAGAAATTAATGAGAGTAAGAACAGAGCATTACACTTCTAGGTAAGGCATAATTCCTGTTTCTGAATTCTCTTCAGTAGAATGGCTTTACAAGACTCCCAAATTTTTAGCCTAATTCTACAACAATAAAGTGTCTTTTTTTTTCTGGTAATACCAAGTGGGGTCTAATCCCATCAGATGTCCCCTAGCGGTCACTCTGAGCCATGCAGGCTGCATGGTGTTGGCACATTATCAAGGTGTCTTTCCAACCACCAACGACTTTGAGAGGAGGAGCTCATATTTAATGTCAGTGCTTTTCTCTGAGAAGAGAGTAGAATTATGAGGACCATCAATGAGGACACCTTGCAGTGTTTACAATATCCTTTTTAGGTTAAAAAATTGGAGTATAGCTGGTTGATTTTATGTGCAAAAGTTTTTACGTGGTTAGGTCCTTAAGTATACAGTCAAATTGACTGATACTTTTATAGAATGTGAGTATAAAGAAATGACAAAAAATATTATTTTTAAAACCTTTCTTCTAAGAATAATAATTAATTTTTTTCTCATTATTCAACTTCTTAAATACACTCAGCTCATTTACCTTTACTATATTTTATAAATTTTCTTCTAAACTTGCTTTCAGTTGTGGATCCTTCTCTCTGTCCTACTTCCTGTTTTTTTGCACAACTTTAGCTCACAAGTATCTGACTATACTTGCAAAAACTGTAGGCAGTTAGATCCCTGAGCAGACAGAAAACCTAAATTTATGGGTGTCCCATGAGAATGCTCATTAAAGGGCGACCTCAGGACAGGAGTATTTCATTAATCCAGTGGGTAGGACGTCCAGTTCAGTGAGTACCAGTCAGCCTCTTTCCCCAGCCACCCCTGCCATTGTCCAATGGGCTCATGAAGACAGTGGCCATGGTGGCAGGGATGGAGGTTATGCATGGGCTCAGCAACAAGTTTCACTGAACAAGTCCCCCTGCATATGACCATGGCTGAGTGCCCAATCTGCCAGCTACAGAGACAAATATTGAGTCCCTGGTGTGTCACCATTCACAAGCGTAGTCAACCAGCTGTCTGGTTGCTAGTGGATTATATCGGATTGTGTCCATCATGGAAGGGGCAGTGTTTTCTTTTTACTGGAATAGATACTTACTCTGGATATGGATTTGCCATCCTTGATTGTAATGTATTTGCTAAAGCTTTTATCCCTGAACTTAGAGAATGAATTACCCACCATGTGAAATATGTATTGCACATGTATTACATCTCATCAAGGAAAAACCTTCACAGCAGAAGAAGTGTGGTAATGGTCCCATGATCATGGCATTCACTGTTATTACCCTGTTCCCACAATTCGGAAGAAGTTGGCTTGATGGAACTTTGAAATGGCCCTTTGGAGACTCAGTTACAGTGACAACTACGTGGGAGAACCATGCTTGGCTTTAGTAAGGTTCTCCAGAGGCTGCACAGGCTGTAAATCAGTGTCCAGTATATGGTGCTCTTTCTCCCATAGTCAGGAATCACAGGTCAAGGCATCAAGGGTGGACATGGGAGAGGCATCACTCACTATTACCCCTCGTGGACATTTAGCACAATGTTTGCTTCCTGTCTCTGCAGACTTTTGTTTTGCTGATCTAAAGTTCTTTATTTCAAAGAGAGAGATATGTCCACCTGGACACACAGCAAAAATTCCATGTAACTGGAAGTTAAGATTGACACTTTAGGCTCTTCATGCCTGTGATTCAACAAGCCAAAGAATGGAAATATAGTGTTGGCAGGTGTGATTGACTCTGCCTATCAAGCGAGAATCGGACCACTGTTCCATAATGAGGGTAAGAAAGAGTGTATCTGGAATACGGGAGATCTCTCAGGGCATCTCTTAATATCACCGTGCCCTGTGGTCAAAGTCAATGGAAAACTATGACAACCCAATTCAAGTGGACGACCAATGGCCTCGACCCTTCAGATAAAGAGCTAAAACACTGAGGTGTCTGCTGAGAGCAAGGAGAACATGGATAGAATAGTGAAAGGAGGTAGTTTCCCACACAAATTACAACCACGTGACCAGTTCTAGAAATGGGAACTGTAATTGATATGAATATATTTTCTTATTTTGTTACTAATATGTTCACATATACGAACACGTTTTCTCACTCTAATTTCAACAATTTCTAACAAGTAGGAATATATATGTGTGTCTCCTTCCTTCTCTTTTCCCCTTACCCTCTAACAGAAGATGTATTAAAATCAGTTAAGCTCACATCCCAGTGAGTAAGTTACACAATACCAAGGAGATGAGTGGTCACACTCACAGAAGATACATCCTGTTATAATCCTGTTGTTGGGAAAGGTTTAGCATATCGTTACTTGTGTGGTAGAGAGTTGTGTTATGTTAGGAAAAAGTAAAACTTTGTTGTTGTGTGTTTATCAGAATATTAGGTGTAATTTAAGGATATGTATAAGGGTCCCCAGTCGACAAGGGGTGCGTGATGATGACTACTTGTGTGAGTCAGCTGCTTGGATGTGGGACCCAATTGTTCAACTATCCATTAGTCTAGGTCTTTCTGTCCAGACCTTCTGTGATGTGGTTAACATCTACATCAGCTGACCCTGAATAAAGGAGATTCTTCTGGGTTATGTGGCTGGGTCTCATCCAATTAGGTGAAAGGCTTTAAGGGAAAGGCTGAGGTTTCTCTGAGGAAGAAGAAAATATGCCTCAAGATTGCAGCATCAGCTACTGCCTGAGAATTGACAGCTTGCTGGCCTGTCCTGCAGATTCTGAACTATCCAGATGTCATAATATCTAAGCAAATTCATTGACAAAAATACATATAGTTATGTATTGTATATATCTCCTATTGATTCTGTTTCTCTGGAGAAACCTGAATGAAAAAATAAGAATGTTTAAAACTTGACAAAATTTGGATTTTATAAAATGTCACAATATTTATGTATTAGATTTAATTTACCACTTTTGACTAAGGCACCTGTTATTTCTAAGTTCCATTAGTACCTTTTCCTTACAGAAACTTTTGCAGGGCAGCCAGTGTCTCATTCCCTCCAGGTATCTAGGGTTCACCATCCCCACCTCATCATTATTTATTTTTCCAACCAATGCTTTAGCCATGTTTCAGTAAGTCAGGATCTTTCCACAGTTACCACGTCTGATGCAACTGAGTTGATCGATCAATACAAAACTCAGGCTCAAGAATCAATAGAAATACACACTGAGTTCTTGCAATTTCATTATGTTTATGGCTACAGTGTCTTATAGAAAAATGATACAAATTAAACCAGAAAAGAGAAAAGACACATGGGGTGAAATCCAGGAGAAAAAAGGCACAAGCTTCCTGGTCTCCTCTCCCAGTGGAGTCTCATGGAAGTGCTTCAATCTCCCAGCAAACACGGGTGACAGCATGTGCAGAGAGCAGTCCTGCAGGGGGAGTGCCGTCATTAGAGTGGGAGATTGGGAAGTCTGAGCCCTTGTTTCCCACAGGAACACTGATGTAAAACATTATCCTCAAAACAAAATACCTTTATGAAAATCCAGATTCCAGTAAAAAAATTTGCAGCATGCAGGATGAGCACAAAGTAGAGAAAATGAACACCAATATGGATGAGAGGAGAAAACTCACTTTGTCCACATCAGTCTCTGCTCCAAACTAGCTTAGCTCAGAGCCAAGGGGGTCATCTTGAACCACGGCCATGTCTGTGGTCTGGGATTGTTCATCTGTCTGCCCATCCTCTTGGCCTTTTGATGTGACCCTGAGGAGCTGCATTATCTCTCATCTCATACCAAGCACTGAAAGACTGCTGGATCCTGGATGCCTGGGTCAGATAAGAACAAAGAAAGCATTTGGAGGCCCTTCTACACTGAGACTGCTCTGTAAGACTGGAAAGGTGAAGAAGGCTGGGAGGGAAGTTAGGGTGCCTTATCCCCAGCCTCCCAGTGAGCCCCCATAAGGTCCTGTTCCATCTTTTCATATGGACCAGCAGAGCCCAGAGGCCTGGGAAAGCTGGGAGCAGAGGAAGGGGGGTCATCCTCCTACAACCAGCACCGAGACTGAGAAAGGGGCTGTTTCTTCACATACACTGGCACCCATGCAGCCAACAAGGAATATGAGGAATCAAGAAGACATGACACAAGCAAAGGAAAAATATAAACCAACAAAACTGACCCTGAAGTGCAGATTATGAATTGCTTGATAGGAAATCAAATTAAGCATTTAGAGAACGTCAGTGAGTTACAAGTGAACACTGATAGACAACTAAGCCAAATCCTGAAAACGATACAGGAACAAAATGCGAAGTTCAACAAAGATAAAAATGAAAAGAGAACAAAACAATAATACTGTAACTGAAGAATACCATAACCAAAGTGAAAACTTGAGGAGAGGGGTTCAACTGGAAACATTATCATGCAGAAAAGAGAATAAGTAAATTTCAAGAGAGGTTATTTAAATTATTCCATCAGAAAAAAAAAAACAAAACACTGAAGAGGAGTGAAGAAAGTCTAAGGGGATTATGAGACACCATCTAGCAACTCAATCCACACATTAACGGGGCCCCAGAAGGAGAAGAGAAAGGGAAAGGGACAGAGAGCCGACTTAACCAAATCTGAGGAGGGGAGTAGACATCAAGGAACATGAAGACCAGAGATTACCAAATGAGGTGAATATAAAGAAGTCTCCAATGAGACACATTATAATCGAATTGTCAGAAATCCAAGACAAAAAGAGGATTTTAAAAGAAGCAAGAGGAGTCAGGTCATCACGCAGAGGGAGTCCCCCTTAGTGGAACAGCAGAGTTCTCTGCAGATGCCTGCAGACCAGCAGGGAGCGGGATGATATATGCAAGACGCTGAAAGAAAAATACTGCCAACCGTGAATACTACACCCAGCCTCAGTGACCTTCAGCAATGAAGGAGAGACAAAGAGTTTCCCAGATAAACAAAGCTGAGGGAGTTCATCATTCCTGGATCTGACTGACAAGAAATGCCAAAGGAGTTCTTCAAGTTGAAACCAAAGGTTCCTAATATCAACATAGCATGTGAAAGTATGAAACTCACTGGTTAAGGTAAATATGTACAAAAATACAGAGTATCCTCTTTTTGTAATAATGATGCACAGATCAATTTTAACCCTAGTACAGATGTTAAATAACTTAGGTACTAAGAATAACAAGAACTACAATAATTAGTTAATGGATAAACAATACAAAATGTAAATTATGACATCAGTAACATAATGGGGTGAAATTACAGTTATTGTATGCAAGTGAAGTTAAATTGTTATCAGCTTAAAATAGACTGTTATTGCTAAAGATGCTTTATGTAAGCCTCATGGCAATCACAAAGAAAAACTGAATTCAATACACAAAATAGTAAACAGAAAGGAATCAAAGAATACCACTCCAAAAAAATAATCGTCATACCTCAGAGGAAGACAGCAAGAGAGGTAGATCAAAGCAAAAGAAATACATTTTTTTCTTTTTTGGGGCAGGAAGATTAGCCCTGAGCTAACATCCATTGCTAATCCTCCGCTTTTTGCTGAGGAAGATTCGTCCTGGGCTAATTTCCATGCCCATCATCCTCTACTTTATGTGGGACACTGCCACAGCATGGCTTGACAAGTGGTGCATCAGTCTGCACCTGGGATCTGAACCTGCGAATCCTGGGCCACCGAAGCAGAGCATGCAATCTTAACCACTATGCTACCGGGCTGGCCCTCAAAATAAATTCAAAACAGACAGACAACAATTAACAAAATGGCAAGAGTAAGTCCTTATATGTCAATGATTGCTTTAAATAGAAATGGGTTAAATTCCCCAATCAGGGAACATGGAGTGTCCAAATGAGTTAAAAACAACAAAAAAATGAAAAACACAAGATCCAATCATATGCTGTCTACAAGAGACTCACATCCAATTCAAGGACACAGATAAGCCGAAATTCAAGGAATAGAAAAAGATATTCTGTGTAAATGGTAACCAAAGGAGAACAGGGTTGTCTATACTTACACAAAATTTTTAGTCAAAACTGTCACAAGAGACAAAGAAGATCATTATGTAATGAAAAAATAATAATTACAAATATATATGAACCCAACTTTGGAGTACCTAAAGATATAAAGCGAATATTAACACAACTGAAGATAGAAATAGACAGTAATACAGTAATAATAGGAGAACTCAATGGCCCACCATCAACAATGGATACACCATGCAGACAGAAAGCCAACAAGGGAACCTTGGACTTGAACTATTTTTGAGACCAGGTGGCCTCACAGACATTTACAAATTCTTCTTAAGCACACATGGAACATCCCCAGCGTAGATCACATCTTAGGCCACAGAACCAATCCTAACACATTTAAGAAGATTGAAATCATATCAAGTATCTTTTCCAACTTCAATGGTAGGAAACTAGAAATCAATAATAGGAGAAAAATGGGAAAATTCACAAATATGTGGAAATTAAACAACACATCCTGAAAATCAATAGGTCAAAGAACAGATAAAAATGAAAATTAAAAAAAAAATCTGGATACAAAGGAAAATAAAACAAAACATACCAAAACTTTTCTGATGAAGCAAAAGCAGAACAATGAGTTAAATTTTGTGATAAAAAACTGCATTAAGAAAGAAGGAACATCTCAAATACACATCCTAACTTTACACCTCAAGGACTCAGAGGAAAAAAATTTGCCCAAAGTTAGCAAAAGGAAAGAAATAATCATTTCAAATTCCCAAACTCAAAGAACCAGAGAATAGAAGGGTGGTTGCCTGTGGCTGGGAGGAAGGGGAAATGCAGAATTGTTGCTCGTTGTGGATAAAGTTTCAGTCATGAAATATAAATACATTCTAGGGATATGTTGTATAACATGGTACCTATAGTCATTTACACGGTATTGAGCAGTTTAAAATATGTTGAGAGGATAAATCTCATGTTAAGTGTTATTTCTCCCTCCACACACACATACTCACCAAAGAACATAAAGAAAATTTTGAAGTTATGGTTATGTTTAGTATCTTGATTGTGGTGATGGTATCACAGGTGTATGCTTATGTGCAAACTCATCAAATTGCATAAATTAAATATAAGAATTTTTGGTATATCAGTTATAGCCAATCAGAGCCTTGATTTCCAGGGTCGTGTAGCATTTAGAGACTGTGTGATGCCCTCTGATAATCAGACTCAAGCTCCCCAGAGAATAATCAGGTATTCACTATAGAGCACCCTAACATCACACTAGTACAAAATGCCCCAAGGCATCAGCATTAAAAAGACCCTTAAAAGGCAGCTGTTCCGAGGCTTCAGAGGTCATCTCCTAGGAGCTGACCAAGGGCCAGAAGTGAAGACAAACCTTTCTTTGGAGCTTTTACAGTTAGAACAACCCAGGTCTGCTGTGTTAAGACTCTCCCACACACAAGTCCAGATGATATGGCAGTGTGGCTCTCAGAGTGGGGCCTGTCTCAGGAGAGAGGAGAGAGAAGAAATGGACAAGGGTGGATCCCAAGAGGGCCCCTCATGAAGTGGGGGAGGTCTACTGACAGCCTGTGGAGGGACCGGCATGCAGACCAGAGCCATGAGATCAACCAGGACAGTGGTGTTTCCAAGAGCCAAAGCAGAAGGGGCCACACTGGGGGATGTGGGGCAGTGGCCAAGCACAGCCAGTGGGCAGGGTGCAGTGGGAGGGAGAGTGACAGGTGTGTAGACTTGGGACAGGGCAGGGAATGTGGGCATTCCCAAAGGAAGCTGGTTCAAAAACAAGCTTTCCCATGTCTCCTGCCTGGGCTTCCATCAATGCCGCAAAGAACAATTTGTGTGGTTTTTCCAACCTGACAAAGCGACAGAATCCCAGAGTGAGGAAGATGTGCGGGGTTCCTAGTAGAAGAAACAGTGACGTGCCACTAACCCCTCCTCGCCCTCACACTGCCCTGCCCGTCCTCTGTCCCCAAAGCTTGGAGGATCTGGTCATTGTCCTGTAGTGGGAACTGTGCCCAGTTCACAGGATCCTAAGATGTCCTGACACACTTAATGAAATCTGCAATGAAGCTGGCATTTCCCAACAAGCTCTCCATCTACTTCTCAACAACATATTCATGAGACTTTACACTAAATGAAGGAAATCAAAGGCATTAACAATTTTTGAAAGGAAAGTCTCACCAACCTACCTATGTTGGGAGGGCTTTCTCTAGTTTCAGTACCAAAGGAGTAGAGAGATAGCACGACTGTCGGCACTCCGAGTTCTGGACATGAGATTAAAATTCCCACATCTGCATATTAGAGTAAAAATGAAGAACCCCACAATTTTCCATTTTCCGAGTTTCCTAGATCAATTCAGCAAAATCCAAAGATAGATTGTGACATATAAAAGGCAGCACTTTTCTCTGAACAAAGTTAAAACTGAAGAGATGAGAAAAATATATCAGGAGAACGTAGACTGAATTGTTACCCACATTTCTGATGATGGTGAGGTGCAGAATGGAGCTGATAAATGAGAGAATAATGGTGCCCTAACTCTGTGCCCATGTTCAGACCTGAGCAGTGTTCACTGGTAAGGAGGCAGCTCAAGGTCTCCCCGCTCCGGGGAACACCTGACTCTGTAAAACCGCAGCTGGGGTCTGTGCAGGCTCTGAGGGTGCAAGACTGGCTCTCATTTCCCATTCTGCAGTCATGTGCATCTCAGTTCTTCCAACAGGGGGACAAGGGAAATTGTGAGTGAGGTCCAGTACTTTTCTACTGAAGGTCTCTGTATATGAGAGAAACCAGTGAGAGTGGGGAAGGAGTCTTATCACCCCACACTTACAGCTCCCCATGAGAAAGGCAACTCTGGGCCAGAACATAGTACAGATTAACGAATAATGCATTTGGGGTTAATGTGGGAATTACAATTGTTTGCAGTCTTTGTGTTTATCTCTTTATGCCAAGAGAATCAAATAGAACCATGTTTTCTTATATAAAACCCATAAGCAGTGTGTCAGCTCTGAGAATGCACCTCCCTTACCTCCAACTTCAGGGAGCACCATGGACCAGGCTCCCAACTGATGCTCTCTGATCCATCACCTGTTTTGATCTGAAGACAGGCATCCTAGAGGGACCCCCAGACAGTGAATGAGCTCAACAGGGATACTGAGGCAGGTCATTGCTGGGAAACATGGCATCCCCTGATGGGCATCTTTGTCTCCAGGAAAATCCCATGGTCTTGCAGGACCTTCCTTGGATAGCACGGATGTTTCAGAATGTTCCTCCTAACCTTCCTTCCCTCTCTCCTTCACTAGGGTCAGACTTGCATCTTGAATAACAGCTTCCACAGCTGCACCTGGCCTCTTGTATTTGCTCTCACAAGAATGAGTGTATTCCTGGGGCTGGCCTGGTAGCATAGTAGTTAAGTTCGTGTGCTCCACTTTAGCAGCCCAGGATTCCCAGGTTCAGATCCTGGGTGCGGACCTACACACCGTTTATCAAGCCATGCTGTGGCAGGTGTCCCACATATAAAGTAGAGGAAGAAGGGCATAGATGTTATCCCAGGGACAGTCTTCCTCGGAAAAAAGAGGAGGAATAGCAACAGATGTTAGTTCACAGCTAATCTTCATCACACACACACAAAAAAAAAGAATAGGTGTATTCCTTAAAATAAAATCCAAAGAGACTTAATACAGTCCCCATGTCTGCTTCTCCAGAAGGCCCTAATGGAGGCAACATTTCAGCAGAGTTGTTGATAGTGTGAACTTGCCTCTATTGGCAAATTTGAAGTACAAAATAATGATGCCACTGGTCAGTTTCATGTGTCAATGGTGGGACGATAGTCTCCAGTTGTTCAGTCAAACGCTAATCTAGGTGTTACCCTGAAGATCTACCCTGAAGATCAAAGTATGTCATCAGTTTTACTTCATGTCAACTAGATTGTCCTAGAAAACCTGGCTGGGCCTGATTCAATCAGAGAACTGGAGAAGATGGAATTACATGGTGGACAGCAGATTAAGCTCTTCTCAAACTTACAGGCTGACCTCCATGATGGCTGACTCTGTGGACACTGGACATCACTAGGCAGACCTACAGTCATCGCTCCCAGTGCTCACAGCCAACTGGAGTGCCCGTCAGCAGCCCTCCCCAATGGTAGAGGTGAGGGAGATGACTCTGTGACAATGTGAGCAAAGCAAGATTAGTTCTACATCCACACCCCATTCTGAACACACAAACGTTGTTCCCTACTCATGTGCACTTGCATTTCCCAAGAGGAGTCCACACACAGAGGACAGGGGCAGGGTCCAGGTCAATGGTGAGAGAGAAAGTCCCATCAGCCTTTCCCAGGTGCTGCAGGAGCCACAGCCTGAGCCACACCTGAGCTCCAGGTAAAGGACCCGAGACCCGGGATTTAGATGATAGAAACCACGTCCTCCATTTTCTGGAAGCAAAAGAAGTAAAGAGAAGAAAGAGAATAAAGCCTGGGGAGAAAGAAAGAATACGAATTAGAAGAAACAAAAGACTGATCAGCGCTGAGTGTGACGTGCACAGTTTTGCATGAGGAGGAGGGACAGATGTGGAGTCACTAGGCTTTATGGGTTGTCACCATCCTGGTCTCTCCCTTGGTTCCAGCCTGAATCCCAGTGAGTGTCCTAACAGAGAATCCCACTGAGGTCTCTGTCCTGAGTCTGATTGGAAGAGACTCACCACTGTGCTCCCCGTCCTCAAGATTCTGATCCTGGGGACCACTGGCAGAGTCACTTCTGCCCCCACAGGGGACACTCTGCATTTTGTGCAGGTAAGAATGCGTCTTCCAGTTACAACCACAACAATAGAAAACATTTTGTATTCAGAGATTTCAAAGGTAGGCACAGAATCACAAACATAGAGAAGTTCCCTGAAGAAGCTGTGATACGGAGAAACCCCAGACCACAACACAGGCCAGCCCTTAACCTCCTGCACCTGCACCTGGGGCTGGTCATGTGCTCAGTGAGTCCTGAGTGCCCCCTGCAGCCCAGCCCCTCCTGTCTCCCTGCAGGGAGGTTTGTGTCTGGGCTCACAGTGACTTCCTCTCACTGTGTCTGTTGCACAGTAATACACGGCTGTGTACTCGGTTCTCAGGCTGTTCATTTGCAAATAAAGCGTGTTCTTGGAGTTGTCTCTGGAGATGGTGAATCGGCCCTTCACAGAGTCAGCGTAGTATGTGCTACTACCCTCATAATTAATAACTGAGACCCACTCCAGCCCCTTCCCTGGAGCCTGGCGGAGCCAGCTCATGGCATAGCTGCTGAAGGTGAATCCAGAGGCCGCACAGGAGAGTCTGAGAGAGACCCCCCAGGCTTCACCAAGCCTCCCCCAGACTCCACCAGCTGCACCTCACACTGGACACCTGCAAACACAAAGACATCCTGGTCAGGAAACTGTCACATCCACTGATTCTCTCACTCACATCCTCTCACATGGTCAATGTCTCTTGTTCTCTGTAAATTACCTCTTAAAATAGCAACAAGGTGGGGCCGGCTCCGTGGCTTAGCGGTTAAGTGTGCGCGCTCTGATGCTGGTGGCCCGGGTTCGGATCCCGGGAGCGCCCCGAGGCACCACTTCTCCGTCCAACGTGAGGCCGAGTCCCACGTACAGCAACTAGAAGGATGTGAACCTATGACATACAACTATCTACTGGGGCTTTGGGGGGAAAAAACTGAATAAATAAAATCTTTAAAAAAAAAAAAAAAAATAGCAACAAGGAAAACCCAGCTCAGCCCAAACTCCATGGTGAGTGGTCTGTGTTCAGTCCTGATCACCGAATGGGAACACCTGGGAATCCCGGGGCTGGGGCTCCTCTCCAGAGCTGCAGGGTCAGACTGGGCTTGTTTTCATCAGCAGAGGGAGGGCCCTATTTGCGTGTCCTCTGACTATGCAGCAGGCTCTGCGTCTGGACACCCACATAAAGGGCAGAGTCTCAGAGTGTGGAGTGTCCAAGGACGATGCTTTAATATAAGCAGGTCAACCTCTTTCACTTTAACTTGGTCACAATTGGCAGGGGGAATTCAATGAGTGTGTGCTTAGATGTGAGGGGAGCAGTGGAAATTACTATATGCTAAGCTTGTGCTCACATTGTATTATCTTCATTAGGCGACATTCTGCATATCCTTCAAATTTATTAGAGATGCCCATTGACAACCTTGACCTAAAGTTATGTTTTATGGCTCATACCTCAAAATTGAAAGTAAAAGTTATCAATTATGAGTCATTCAGGTTTTCATTTGTGCACAGTCCTTGACCTGAGGTAAATTGCCCCAGATTGCAGGATTTACTTCCTTTACTAGAGCTTGAACATAGCTAAAGACCCAAGAGTGAACACGTATGCTGAAAGCAGGTACATTTTGGAGGATTGAATGACATTGTGGTGTTTTGGAAACAAAGTGATATCTCACCTCTTCGTGAACACACAAAGTGATGGACAACAAGTTCAGAAGCTTTTAGATGCGTGCCTGATTCCTAGAGATGTGGCTGATATGCAAGACGACACCCACGCTAAAAGAGCCAATGTGGAAGCTAAGGAAACGCTGCAGCAGATCACGAGCCCAATCACGCAGCCCTGACATGGAAATAGTGCCATCTACACCCTCAAGGGATAAATCTCTGGGGGGATGCACAGAAGCCATTGCCAAATACAAGCATTTAGTTCTTGGTTTTAAATTAAAAAGAAATGAAAAAACCTGAGGGTCCTGAGCACCCCCTGATTGTTCTGAGTGTCCCCTGGTTGACCTGAGTGCCCCCTGGTGGTCCTGAGTGTCCCCTGGTTGTCCTGAGAGCCCCCTGGTTGTCCTGAATGCCCACTGGTTGTCCTAAGTGCCCCCTGGTGGTCCTGAGTGTCCCCTGCTTGTCCTGAGCCCCCCCTAGTTGTCCTGAGCGCCCACTGGTTGTCCTGAGTGACCCCTGGTGGTCCTGAGTGTCCCCTGGTTGTCCTGAGTGCCCACTGGTTGTCCTGAGTGCCCCCTGGTTGTTCTGAGTGTCTCCTGGTTGTCCTGAGTGCCCCCAGGTTGTCATGAGCACCCCCTGGTTGTCCTGAGTGTCCCTTGGTTGTCCTGAGCATCCCCTGGTTGTCCTGAGTGCCCCCTGGTTGTCCCGAGTGCCCCTGGAGATCTTGAGTGTCCCCTGGTTGTCCTGAGTGGCCCCTGGTTGTCCTGAGTGGCCCCTGGTTGTCCTGAGTGTCCCCTAGTGTCCTGAGTGCCCCCTGGTAGTCCTGAGTGCCCCCTGGATGTCCTGAGTGCCCCCTGGTTGTCCTGAGCGACCCTGGAGATCCTGATCGCCCTTCTCTAAATTTCCAGAGAACCATTCCAGTCCATTTCCCTGCACCATTATCTCATATCTAAAGTGTGGGATATTCACAAGTTTTGCAGCAGCTAAATGTAAAAATTGCATTGAATTCAGACAAAGCTGGGTCCACTCCACTGTTTATGGTGATTCAGAACAGCTTTACTGGGTCACTTAACTTGAGTGAACGCTTCTTCTCTGAAACAGCTTCAGGACCAGCTGTGTTCAATGCTGCCATGGACTTGGATTTACTCTTGTCAACCTGTATGCAGTTTATTTTTGGGACAAGGAAGCCATTTCTGCTGCAGGGTAATCATTCCTGTCCTTGTTCAAATGGCTGGCAGCTTCTTTCTCTACACAGCTGAGTCTCTGCAAGATCAGTCTGGACTCAGGACTCTCTCCTTGAGGGGGAGCATTGAGAAATGCAAACTCCACTCAGGACACAAACAGAGACAGGTAGTGGGGGCCCTCAGCTCCCTGATATGCTGGGCCAGATCACCGATAAGTGGTGTCACTGTGTGACTGTGAAGATGTGGCCTCACCCCTTGTGTTTCTGTCTGAAAAGGTATAGATTGGAGATGGCAGTGGCGACTTTACATGTGAACTATGGAATAGGATGGCAGTGCTGTTAGACATTGTCATCACTGTAATCAGTGTTACAGCCTTAGGAGCCTTATCAGTTTTTAAGGACTTGAATTGTTTTCTACTCATAATGGTCATTTATCTCTTTTTTCCACTCATTTTTTTATAGTTATTAAGTGGAATAAGCAGTCACACACTATTTTTTGAGGTTTGACTGCTGACACCTTAAGACTCATCTCCCACCTTCTCCATCTGCCCACCCATGGGGAATCTGATAAGAAATCATGGGTTCTCCCCCTTTGATGCTGGTGAGAGATTCAAACCACACAAGACCTCCTGTGAGCAGGACCTTCCCCTCCCCGAGAACTGAACCACAAGAAAATTCCTGAGCCAGTCTCCTTTCCAGCCTCTATCAAACCATTTCTTACTTGATGAAAGGCCTGCCCTGCTCTCAACACACACCTCAATAATGGAGGTAACAAAAGTTTTACATTCTCTGTGTGTGTATGAGTGGGCTCATCTGACTTAACTTCTATCTCAAGCTGCGGTGGGGGCCCTCTGCATCTGCATGGTGTCACCTAAAATTGATGCTGTGAGTGTGGTGTCAGGACAATGACCACCACCACCAGGGTCTTTATTCTCTGGCTTTGGATTCATAATGCCTCTGTTGCCTGACGTCCAAGCTGCACTTGATGCTGCTGCTGGCTTGTTGTATACTGAGCTGTGCCGTGCTGCACTCTCGAGTTCCAAAGAGACTCTTTTCTAGATTTAGCTGACTGACAGCAGAAGCTTTGATAATTAATTTGCATTTAATGACAGGAGTGATCAACTTTAAGTGGCACGTAGTCTTTTGTGCATGTAGGTATAGTTTTCTCCTGTTACAACAGGATTTTCTTATTCAGAGACACGAGGTAAACACAGAATCATGAGTCCAGAGAAGTTCTGCCAGGGAAACTTCTATACGAGGAGGAAACCCCAGACCCTGACATGAAACCAGCCCTTAACCTCCCTCTGCTCCTGTTCGTGGGGAGAAACACAGAATTGGTGGGTGCTGTGTGCCACCTGGTGGTACTCAGCCCCTCTTGCTGGGAGGTTTATATCTGGGCTCACACTGACTTCCCCTCACTGTGTCTCTTGCACAGTAATACAGGCCCGTGTGGTGGTCGCAGAACTCAGCTGCAGGAAGAACTGGTTCTTGGACGTGTCTCTAGAGATGGAGATGCGACTCTTGAGGGATGGGTTATATGTTGTGCTACCGCTATAACTGATGTGTCCTATCCACTCCAGCTCCTTTCCTGGGTTCTCGCGGATCCAGTCATAGTAGTAATCACTGGTTGTGATGGAGGATCCGGAGACAGTGCAGGTGAGGGAGAAGTTCTGTGACATCTTCACCAGTGCTGGGCCTGACTCCTGCAGCTCTGCCTGGGACAGGACACTTGGGGACAAGGAGAATCAGTCCCTGTCAGTCACGTGCAGTCACAACCACCCCCACACACCCAGGTATGACATCTGAGACACTCACCTTGGGGAGCTGTCACCAGGCAAAGGAGAAGACCCAAGAGTCTCATCTTCTTCTAGACCACAGCTCTGCCTTCCCCAGAGACCTCAGCCCTGTCTGAGGAGAGAGCTGTGAGCTCCCACAGCCCAAGACTGGATTTTACCCCAGAGCTTGAATGGAAATTTGCATGTGGGGGGACCGGTCCTTATAAATGGGGAGGGGCAGAGTCGGGCTCACCTGCTCCTTCTGGGGACTCAGTAGGTCTTCTCTTCCCTTGAAATCATTCAGCAGGTAAGTCTGGGAAGGGAGGCTCTTGGTTTATAAGATGCATTGGAATCAAGTCAAAGAACAGCCTCAACTTTCTGATGATAAGGTAAATGGTGGACTAGATGTGTAGATTACATTTCATAAAACTCGTGCATCTTGAAATAGATATTAAAAGGGAACAGCATTTTTCTAGATAGTTTCTGATACCCAACACTTTAATATATCCACAATTGTCAAATTTTTATAACAATAATTTCATATACAAACAAAATTTTGATGTCTAATTGGGGGTTAAAATAATCACTAAATAAAAGACGACTGTCAATATCTTATTATTTAAACGTAGGCACTTATGACCATGCTTAGATTTGAGTAACCACATCCTAAAACCAGGCTGGCTGGGGGGCCCTTGATGTCTGATGTTGGAAGTCTTGTCATTGTGTCTATGGCTCCCTGAGCAAACTCTTCCCTTATGCCAACCTGTGGCATATTCAGAGAACTCAGACTCATTACATCCAGAATAACCACACTTTTACATGGAGAAAAGACTGAAAATAAAAAGATTGAATATGTATCCGCATAATCCAGCATCTTTCAATTGTTGGAATGATTATGGCAGAGGATGAACTGAGCTGTTTTCTCAGGCTGGTATTATCACTGAAGTTGGGGTTCAGAGGGAGGGAAATGGAGAGGGCTCCTAGCATAGATTTGTTCATATTTTGTGGACACAAACTTTCATCAGATATGTGGTGAAAATATATTCTCCCAGGCTACTCTTGTCTTTTCCTTCTCTTAGTGGTGTCTTTGGTGGGACAAACGTTTTTAATTTTAACAAAGTCTAATTTATAAATATTTACTTTGAAGAGTCCTGATTTTGATGTTTTATCTAAATGCTCCTAAGAAAATGGTCAACCTCCATTGTTCTTGGCATGGAGAACACCGATATGAACACAGGGGTCACTGACACTGGTAGAGCCACATTGCTTGGATTCCTTCATGTCATTGAACTCTGATCTGCTGTGACCCTCTGACCAGGAGACCAACTTTCCTGCATGAAGTACTGATTCACTTCAAAGATTAATTCATTTGATTGGACTTTAGAGTGTGAATTGCCCTAGAGTATGCTAGCATAGATAATGAGACTAATCCCTGAGAAATTATATCATTGAAACATCAGGCAGATGTGGAAGAAACATCAAAGGCTGTGACGGACGTGCTAAGGAGAGATGCCAGAAGAAATGATCTGAGATGTTATTTCAAGAAGATGAAAGTGGCTGGCAAGGACTAAGCCCACAGAGAGTCTGTGCAGAATGAGACATAAAGAGGATCCACTGGAACTGACACGAGAATGTTAGTTATTCCAGTGAGAGCACTTTGTAGAGGTGTTTGTGTAGCGTTAACGTCAGAACAAGTGACACAGAGAATGGACCTTGCAGGACATAACGAGGTGGAGGGTGATCAGCTCTCTCAGTTTGTGTTGGGAGAGCAGTGGACACGTTACACTTAAGTGGGTGGTGGGGATTTTAAGGAATGTTCTCCAGTGCAGTTGCTAATGTAACCACCCAGGGGATGCTCAGGTCCAAGACTGCAGAGGTGACAGTGTTCCCTACTGGTCGCTCTGAGCCACGGACCCTGCATGACCCTGGTGTCCTGTCAGCATCATGTCCAACCTCCAAAGACTTTGGGCTGGAGGAGCTCACCTTCATGGTCAGGATCTTACTCTGCGAAGAGGAGACGACCATGGGGACACAGACGATGAGGCTGTTGTGCGTCACTTACAATGAATGCCCTTATTAGTGACGGAAATGGGCTTGGCTCTGGGTGATTTGGTGTTTACAGATTTTGCAGTTAGCCCTTGAAGTGGACAATGAAGTAAAATGATACTTTTAGAGAGTGGGGATGAGTGCAAAGAAATGGCAGGAAATCATTATTTTTAAATACGAGTACTAAGAGAAATACCTGTTTTAATTACATGTTCTTGCTCTGTATGCAAATTCATAATGAGAAAACTTTGCTCATTTCTGATTGCTACTTTTCAATTTTCCCCTAAAAGTCCTTTCAGCTGTGATTCTTCTCTCTGACCTGCTCTGGGTCTCTTCCGTAAATAACTGTGGCTCTGGAAGGTTTAACCTGTGTATCTGGGCTCTGTTCCCTGAGGACATGTGAGTGATCAGTCCACCCGGCCCGTTCCCTGATCACTGTGACCCCAGCGGTCCGTAGACATGTCCAGTGTGGTGCTCTTCAGATGGTGGGGCCATCTGGACAACTCTGACATAAGGCGTGTGAATAGGTAGAGGTGTCTTGAGGTCAGCAGCCAGTGGTAACCCCACCTGACACAAGCCTGGTCTGCACTAGAGCTTTCGTGACCTGAAATTCCATGTGTGCATGACTCGGGGGCTCAGCAGGAGGCTGAGTTCAGCTTCAGACCACCTATTTGTGACCTGCCCTCGTGTGTTCGTGGATGGACACATGAGATGGACATTACGGGGTGAAGGGGGTCAGGTGAATTTATTGTCAGACATTACTGAGCCTCCACTCTGTGCCTCCCACTGTGGGGAGAGCTGGGAAGAGTGAGCAGCTTTCTGCCGGATGGAGCTCATGGTCTAGGTCAGGTTTTGTGAGATTTCAGACAGTAGAAGGAGAGGGTCATGGTGGCTGGGTTTCTGTGGGATACTGAAGGACAGCACAGGGTGGGCAGGATCAGGACTCTGTCCAGCTGGTTTTCCATGTGGAAGCGGAGAAGTATGTGTTACAATGCTGCCACTAGGGCTGCATTCAGAGACCCCCACCCAAAATTCTTCCCAGCAGGGTTGTAATGGACTTTCATCTCTGGCCTTGTTCCTGTCTGCTCCATGTGGAATCTGAGAGCTGTGTCTAGCCCTCAGGCAGGCTGCTTCTCCATCCTAGAGGCTGACGGATGGTGAAAGACTGGAAACAACTCTGAAAACCAAAGTCCTCCAGAGTGGATGAGGAGTGAGAGGATCAGCTGCTCCAGGGAGAGCAGGACTCTTAGGGGGCAGAGTCCTGGTTACACTATGTGGGCACAGATGTGTGCCTGTCTGAGGTAAGGGGCTCATGTAGGGACAGATGTGTGCCTGTCTGAGAGAAGGGGTTCATGTGGGGACAGATGTGTGCCTGTCTGAGGGAAGGGACTCACGTGGGGACAGACGTGTGCCAGTCTGAGGGAAGGGGCTCATGTGGGGACATATTTGTGCCAGTCTTAGGGAAGGGGCTCATATGGTGACAGTTGTGTGCCTGTCTGAGTGAAGGGGCTCATGTGCAGACAGATCTGTGTTTGTCTTAGGGAAGGGGCTCAAGTGGAGACAGACATGTGCCAATCTGAGGGAAGGGGCTCATGTGGGGACATATCTGTGCCAGTCTTAGGGAAGGGGCTCATATGGTGACAGATGTGTCCTTGTCTGAGTGAAGGGGCTCATATGGTGACAGATGTGTGCCTGTCTGAGGGAAGGGGCTCATGTGGGGACATATCTGTGCCAGTCTTAGGGAAGGGGCTCATTTGGGGACAGATCTGTGCCAGTCTTAGGGAAGGGGCTCATATGGTGACAGATGTGTGCCTGTCTGAGTGAAGGGGCTCATGTGCGGACGGACCTGTGTTTGTCTTAGGGAAGAGGCTCATGTTGGGACAGATGTGTGCCTGTCTGAGGGAAGGGGCTCATTTGGGGACAGATCCGTGTTTGTCTTAGGGAAAGGGCTCATGTCAGGACAGTTCTGTGCCTGTCTGAGAGCAGAAAAGATCAGGACATCGCATGGGGAATGTGGGTTTCCTGGATGCTTCTCTTGGAGGGAAGTTCTTCCCAATCACAGGGTTGGAGAGAAGCCTCAGGATGATCTCTTTTCTAAAGAAAGAAGTTGGGTCACATGGGCACCTGGTGAAGTATTGATCACCAGTGACTAGAAACGTCTTGTGTGGAAAAAGAGAATTTATTTACTTCTTCCTCTCTTGCAGTGAGAATGTGAGAACACAGAACCACAAATAACAAGGCAAGTGTCTCTGGGGACATTAGAGAGCTAGACGAGGAGAGAAAATACACAATCACAACAGGAAGCCTGTTCCCAGCCGCTCAGTGCACCTGCTCCTGGGGTAAGTTCCCTCATTCACTATGTCCTGAGCGCCACCTTGTGGTCCTGAGCCCCTCCTGCAGGGAGGTTTGTGTCTGGGCTCACACTGACTTCCCTTCACTGTGTCTCGGGCACAATAATACCAAGTCGTGTCATAGGTTCTCAGGCTGTTCATTTGCAGATACAGCGTGTTCTTGGAGTTGTCTCTGGAGATGGTGAATCGGCCCTTCACGGAGTCAACGTAGTTTGTGCAGTCAACAATACTAATAATGGATAAGACCCACTCCAGCCCGTTCCCTGGAGCCTGGTGGACCCAGCTCACGGCATAGCTACTGAAGGTGAATCTCCTGTTCTCCATAAATTACCTCCTAAAATAGCAACAAGGAAAACCCAGCCCAGCCCGGACTCCATGGTGAGTGGTCTGTGTTCAGTCCTGATCACCGAATGGAACACCTGGGACTCCCGGGGCTGGGGCTCCTCTCCAGAGCTGCAGTGTCGGGGCTGGGCTGATTTTCATCAGCAGAAGGAGGGCCCTATCTGCATGTTCTCTGACTGTATAGCAGGCTCTGGGGTTGGACGTCTCAGAGAGGACAGTGCCCCAAATTAGATGAGCGAGTCCTGGGGGAGTTTGGTGGCAATTACAGTGTTCAGGAAAATGTGAGCTTAGTATGTGATTGTAACACGATGAACACACTGTTGGTTATATTGTTTTATGTTTACATATGTACACAAATCATGTGCTGTGTCGATTTTAATTCTATTGTGCATATACAAAAGTCACAGAAGAACACGTAGGCTCTGCAGTATGTTGACGAGCACACACCTGAAGCGTTTCTGAGCCTGTGCTCCTCACTGACCTGACTGACCCCTGAACCAGTCCAGGACAGAGCTGGGTGTGCCCAGTGAGGGTTGCAGACCCCCTTCCTGTAAGGAGAACATGTGTCTTCTGGCTGCATTGTGGTGTTACCTAGAGGCTGTATGGAGAGCAGAGTTCACCTAGGTGCATTGGAGTCTGACATTTCCCGTGGCATATCTGTGTCTCTAACTCTCCTTGTCGACCAGTGTAGGCATTTGTTTATTTGTAACAAACGTATCCATGTATAACTGACATATAATGAACTGCACATACATAAATTTACTTGTATATTTTAAAAATATTGACATATGTGTACACCTGTGCAACCATCAGCACAACTAAACATGGGCAAATCTTTCACACTGAAACATTTCCTATTGTTCCTCCCTCCCACTCTGTCTCTCTTCCCACCCGGACCCCAGGCAATGCATTCATGTTGGGTGAATCAGGCAGGCACTGATTTTAACGCTGAGTAGTATTCCAATGTATGGATACACCTCAAATTTATTTCCCTTTTGAGTGGCATCTGGATGGTTCTCAGTGACTGGCTATAAAAAGAAATAAGCTACTCAACATGAAGCTGCAGAGAGCTGAGAGAAAGTTGGTTTTATTATTTTTATTGTATAAGTTTCAGGTACATGACATTATAATCACACATCTGTATACACTACAAAGTGATCCCCCCAAAACTCTAGTTACCATCTATCACTCGACAATTGACCCCCTTCAGCCCCCACAACCTCTTCTTCCTGGTAACCACTGAGCTCTTCTCTGTATCTATGAGTTTGTTTTTCTTTTGTTTTGTTTGTTCATTTGTTTTTTTAGATTCCAATTTTGCAAAATCATACAGCACTTGTGTTTGCCCTTCTGGCTTATTTTCCTTAGCAAAATTCCTTCAACGTCCATTCCTGTTGTTACAAATGGCAGGATTTCACTGTTTTTCGTGCCTGGGTAGTATTTCGTTGTATTTATACCATATCTTCTTTACCCATTCATCCATTCATGGGTACTTAGATTGTTTCCATATCTTGGCTATTGTGAATAATGCTGCCATGAACATAAAGGTATGTATATCTTTCTGAATTACTGTTTTCATATTGTTAGGAATGTAAATTGGTGCAGCCACTATGGAAACAGTGTGAGTTTCCTCAAAAAAATAAAAATAAAACTACCATATGATGCATTCCACTATTCCACTACTGGGTATTTGTCTGAAGAATACCAAAACACTAATTCAGACAGTTTTTCTTATTCTTAAAACAAAAAAAAAAATCAAAAAAGCTGGAAAATCTGCAAAGTAACAAATTATCTTCAACACATCAGAGAATTGAAGACACAGGGTAAACAACAAAGAAGAAACCTGGAAATACAGGTGCCTGCAGTGAGAAACAGGACCTGTCCATTAGCTCACCTGGGTCAGAGATGGCCAGATGTCATATGATAAAGAAAGAAGATGAAACTAGAAACATTTATTGAATTGCTAGAAGACAAGTATATTAATCACGGTTCTTCAGAGAAAGAACAACTAGGAGACATATATCCAACTGAGAACCTCAACAGGAAATCCCTGGTCCAACAGGAAGCCCCATTTCCACCCCTCTCTGCACCTGCTCCTTGGTCTGGTCTCTGTGCTCTGTGCGTCTTGAAAGCCCCCTGGTGGTCCTGAGCGCCCTCTTCAGCCCAGCGCCTCCTGTCTGCCTGCAGGGAGGTTTGTATCTGGGCTCATACAGGCTCTCGCACAGTAATACACAGCTGTGTCCTCAAGGGTCCCGAAGACCAGCTGCAGGGAGAACTGGTTCTTGGACACGTCTCTGGAGATGGAGATGAGGTTCTTGAGGAATGGGATATGTGCTGTGTTACCACCAGCTTTTCTACACCCCATCCACTCCAAGCCCTTCCCTGGGGGGTGGCAGATCCACATCCCTTCATACCCACTGGTGATAGAGGATCCAGAGACAGCCCAGGTGAGGGAGAGGGTCTGCGAGGGCTTCACCAGTCCTGGGCCCAGACTCCCGTAGGGTCAGTTCAGACAGGACACTTAGGGACAAGGAAGATCAGTCCCTGTCAGTCATGTGCAGTCACATCCATCCCCAGTGACCCAGGTCTTACATCTGAGTCACTCACGTTGGGGAGCCATTACCACGTAAGGGAGAAGACCCAAGAGTCTCATCTTCTTCTAGACCACAGCTCTGCCTTCCCCAGAGACCTCAGCCCTGTCTGAGGAGAGAGCTGTGAGCTTCCACAGCCCAAGAGTGGATTTTACTCTAGAGCTTGAAGAGAAATTTGCATGTGGGGAGCCCTGTCCTTATAAGTGGGGAGGGTCAGAGGTCAGGCTCTCCCTGGATCCTCCTGTGTTCTTTCTCTATCATCTCCCCTGGGATGTGGATCTCATAACCCCTGAGAGCTCTCTACATGGTTATATTCCATAACTTGAGTTTCAGACCCCTTCGTGCTCCCTCCATCCTGGGCCTCTGTGGTTGGGGAGGATGTTATATGGTGAAAGCATCAGGTGGGCCCACAGGTGGTTTCCTTCTACCACATGCCCCACGTCCCACCATTTCTTCCTCACACCCTGTCCTTGATCTGCTTCATCTTCCCCCTACTCTTATATTTATGGCTCCATTAATGAGAGTGGAGGAAAAAGCATTTTCCAGGTCAATCTCAGTAACTCCAGGTACCGCGCTTGTGTTAATTTGCTCACAACTGAAACCATATCTGATCCAGCAGCTGCATTTGGAGTCACCACCCGGTTAAGCTTACACTAACCCACTGTCATCCTCTAATATCCATTTCTCAGGTACAGACCACACAGGTGAGTTGAGTGAGGATGTGGGAGGAATCACCCTGGATCTTTAGAGTCCTGATTGTGACACGAGTCTCTGAATGCCCTCGTTTGGTTTCCTGAGTAGAGGCAGTTTTAGTGACTTCCACTTGGTCTTTTCTCCCATTATAGTCCTCACTCCACAGGTCAGGGAAACAATAGGATGATTCTGTGAGTTTTGGATTATGTCTCATGAACATGTTATGAAGACCAATAGTGCAATCTGTAACTGGAGAAGGAACCAGAGGATGAGTCCAAGGACCCTCTGGGTCCACTGTGAGAAGGACCTAAGCTGAAACTCCATTGAGCCCCTGATCTTCATAAGCCCGTATTTTGACTGGTGGACCACGGTGATATTTCAGGTCTTCTGAAAATAGTGTGAGTTCAGAGACAATGATTAGTAATCCTTGAAAGTCTAAATATGTCCAGTTCTTTATGCACAATCACCCTGGTAAAGCCCACAGGTTCTTTGAGGAAGACTGGAAGAAAATTAATGGCACACCTTTCTAGTAGTGTAGCAGCATCCACCCTCAGGGAACCTGGCCTCCTCTTCATTCCAGGGTTTCTGGGTCTGCAAACATTCCCATTCCTATCTTGAAATTTAGATTGACTTCTTAAAATATGTCATATACTTTATCTCATAAGATCATTATAAGCATGGAGGGACAGAGGTCAGTGTCCACAGTCCTTCCAAGGACTCTGTGGGCATCTCTTCTCCTGACTGTAGGTGTTTTTTCAGTCTGTGTTGGGGGCAGGGGACACTGTATTTGAGCCTCTTTTTAAACAGATTTGAGGACTCTCCAATTTTCTGAGACCAGAGTTACCTTCCTTCAGGCGTCCACCCCTCCATCCCCACCTTGGCCCCAGCCTAACTGTCCCTCATCCACTCAGGATCCCCATCTTGACTCCTCCATGCTGAGCCTAGCACATCTCCTGCTCTCTTTCCCTGTAATCTCTTCTCTGATGTGGTTCTTATCACACTGAGAATTTGTTACCTTGTTATATTGTTGTGATATGTGAATTCCAGGTGGGCTTGTGCTCCATCCACCTTGTGCATTTGTGATTGGAGAAGACGCCATATTTTGAAAACTTCAAGTGGTCCCACAGGTATCTTTGATCCATCACTCACCTGAACCCAGCATATCTTCATTACATACTCGGGGTATGCCCCACCCAGGTTCAGCATTTATTCACCATTAGCCACAAGAGCAAGAATGTGAAATCCTAGGTCCCTTGTCTCTGGTGTGTAAACTGTGAGCCCTGTTCACCCCCCAGAGCCCCTCTGCAGGGCAGGCTGAGGCTCCTATCTGGGGATTTGTAGACATGAGACCTGTACTCATCTCCTTCCACTCACCTGCCCTGTTGACCTCACACACTTGACTGTTTCTAGTGGGAACAAGTCTTAATAAATTGTTAGTACAAGAACCCATTTCTCCAATTCTGCAACTCAGAATTGTCCCAAGACACAAGGCGATTAACAGAGTGAAGGGAATGTGGCCTGGAGGGAATTGTTTGATAGAAAAATGTCATAACAATTATTTTGACACAGCACACAGTCCATTGATAAATAGGTGAGGAGATGATGATATTCAAACAACCACCTTGTCAACAATGAATGGCCGCTACCCTGGAAGGTAGTGGAATCTAATTTTAGGTCTCTAATAATCAATTGTGAAGACAACATTCATAGTCCTGAAAGGCACAGGCTGATGAAATAAATGCTAAGCTGGGTGA